AGAAGTAAAATTTATTTGCTTCCAGAATATATTTGGTAAATAAAACTTATTGAATAGTTGAGCAAAATAAGCGATTTTGTAGTAGTTACAAAATTTTTGGTAGGTTCAACCAACCATCTGTAATAATAGATATTGAAATGATGTAATAGCTGCAAATGAATGAATTTTTCGTTGTGCTGCAACAAAACATACTTATACTGGTAACAAAATAGAACTCGTACCTACTGAATTTTTTATTACATGGGATATAACAATTTCATAACAATTATCAAATATCTGCTCATAATTGTAATATATTTCATATTAAATATTTAACATTAAGTAACTATTACTAAATTATTTAATTGATGTTACTGTGAATGCAATTACGTCATACTCCCAATCTATTAAATATTTGGTAATTATTATCATATTTAGTATTAGTTACTAAGGATTCAATGAATTTCTGTAACTAAATGCAGTTTGTTATAGTTACTAGTCTTTTCTCTCAGTGTGGCTCTCTCCAAATGACTCGAATCATTCGGAGGATTCGACTTGATTCATATCAGACTAGATATTGTGTGATAAAGAACTGCGAATTAGAGATTAGAATTCAACGAGTCGATCATTCCGATCATATTTTGTTTTTTCTGATTGACTTCCTATGCCGGTAGCTGATTGATCAACCCCCAATACCTCTCATATTTTTACGAAATCGACCCTCAGATCGTCCGAAAAAAAGGTTTGGTGATAACCATCAAGTATAGATAATAGCTATAAGATGCTTGATGAAATAGTTTCAATTAAATCTGTAGGTAAATATAATCAAATAATTTGGTAAATATTGACAAATAACCTTAGCAAGGCTTGTAATATCTATTGTCAAGACTTGATATTTGTCTAGAACTATCTGGCTAGGAACTGTCTGGTAACTATTATCAATTTATATGATACGTATTACAAAACAATTTATTTAAAAAAACCATACTGTTTAGTAATACTTACCATATTATGTGATAAATAAATTATTTGTTATTATTTACCAAATCATTTAAGTGGCTCAATTAAACGAAGAACTCGTTTTACTAATCATTTTGTAATTATTATCAAATGGTAACCATCATTATATTTGATACTAATTATGTATACTAAATATTGCACTAAAATATCTGCTCTACCAAATGCATTTGTTAACTATTGCAACATTTTTTTCGTGCTGCTCGAGTTTGTGTCCAAACTCGCAGCTCTAACATTTTTGCCTATAACCGATCGATTCGCACAATTCGCAACAATTTGCAACAAAAAGATCGTTTCGGATGACTTATTTCCAAAACGTCGTCGTGGGCACAGAGTAATCGGCATAATTGCTGCTCACGTGGACTATTTCGGATTGATCCGCGGCTCCATGCCAGTCAAGTTGAGTCGTGACGGTAATCGAAGGAATTGACTAATGGACGAGCCACACGAGGGAGCGAGAGAGAGAGAGAGAGAGAGAGAGAGAGAGAGAGAGAGAGAGACGGGGGAGGGGGAGAGGAGAGGAACTGGGAGAGAGAGGGAGATAGCGGAAAGGAGGAGAGACCATCTTATCCGCGGAGGGATGATCGATGGGATCCATTACCGGGAGACGCGTGCAATCCGCCCACACCCCGAACAAGGGCTGCCTCCCCCCTTGACCCCGCCGTCTCCTACCCTCGCTCTCATCCTCCTGATCTCTCGTACGCGCGCTCGTGAACGAGCGGTTGCCTATTTCTCTCTTTCTCCCTCCCCCGGACTTCTCCTCTCTCCGCTCTCGCGCAACATGTTGATGCATTTACTCGCTTACCGGTATAACTGCCGCGCCATTATAAAAGCCGGTCTCCTCCCCCCTCCACCGTCCCACCCTCTGCTCCTTTCTCTCTTTTTCGCGCTCCTTCTATCTCTCCTTTCGGCTCCCTCGCTCTCGCTCCTTCTTCGGTCTCGCGCGGAGCCCCGATGGCCGATGCATTTCGCAGGCGTTCAACCTGCGTGTCTTCCCGCAGCATTCTCCGCGCGATCACCGACCCCGTGCACCCGGTCGCACCGCGCCGCGCCGCGCTGCGCTGCATCGCGCCGCATTGCGCGAAGGAAAATCGTACGAAGGAGCCGCTCTTGCGACGCGCTCGCGCTTCGCTTCGCCTCGTCTCGCCTCGCCTCGCCTCGACCTTGCGACGTCCAACATTTTTGGCGCCACGGTATCACACGAGGCGACCGGTCGCCGCGACCGCGACCTGTTCGCGGCGCATTTCTCAATAGAGGGGTAAATCACACAATTACTGGCATCCTCCTTAGCTCCGTTGGCGCTCTAGAAAAAGCCGACTTTTCTCGCGACCAGCGGCATCACTTCGCACAGTTTCACCTGTGAGAATTTCTTCGGGAATCATGGAGTACCTGTAGGAAGTTCCATTGCAATACTGGTCGTATAGAAAACCAGTGGTAGAACTATGTAAAAAATAGATGAAGAAATGGAAAAAAATTTCTTGTCTATACAATCACGCGCAACGATTCGTCGAGTTGTCACGCGTGATTGTACACTGAGAGAAAAGACTGGTAACTATAACAAACTGCATTTAGTTACAGAAATTCATTGAATCCTTAGTAACTAATACTAAATATGATAATAATTACCAAATATTTAATAGATCGGGAGTATGACGTAATTGCATTCACAGTAACATCAATTAAATAATTTAGTAATAGTTACTTAATGTTAAATATTTAATATGAAATATATTACAGTTATGAGCAGATATTTGAATTGTTATGAAATTATTATATCCCATGTAATAAAAAATTCAGTAGGTACGAGTTCTATTTTGTTACCAGTATAAAACATTCATTCATTTGCAGCTATTACATCGTTTCAATATCTATTATTACAGATGGTTGGTTGAACCTACCAAAAATTTTCTAACTACTACAAAATCGCTTATTTTGCTCAACTATTCAATAAGTTTTATTTACCAAAGATATTCTGGAAGCAAATAAATTTTACTTCTGTCAAATAAATAATTTATTTTACAGAACTAAATTAATTAATAAGTATTGCCATAGCTTTGGCCCGCTATATTTACGTGTACCATTTAGTAATAGTAACCAAATTTTGATAATATTTACTAAATTCTTCTCTCAGTGTATAGACAGGAAACTTCTTTCTATTTCTTTGCTATTATTTTAACGTAGTCCCACCACAGGATTCTTCTGAATTGTGCCAATCACTAAGGGCGATGCCAATACTTGTGTGGTTTACACTGAGAAAGAAACACTTGGAAAGTTGTTGGTGGAATGTAAAGTTCACTTCTGTGAAGCTTCCTTAGTTCACAGTTCTTTAGGGCAATGTTGACCACAAATTAGGTTCCGATGTAGCCGATATTGGCTCAGTATTGCAAAACAGATTCCTTGCATTTTGTAGCCAATATAGAATTCCAAATTAGTAATTCATCTGTTACCAATATTGGCTACATATTTGATTATATTTGCCCAATGTACAACCAATATATGCCAATATTGGTACAATTATGTTCTACAATATTGACAATTTATTCATATTTCATTTATAACCAATATTGCTTATATATTGGCCCAATGTGTGGTAATGTAATATTGGACTGATGTAACGCCAATGAACTGTGCTACTAGAGTTATTTCTGTGAATAATGAACTTCATTTCCCACAAATAAATTTTCAAATATTTTTTTCTCAATGTATATGATACTTGACTGCTCTCTGGATGGCATCTTATTGAGCAGTGTACCCACCGAATCCATTCGACTATCGTCGGCAACTGAGTTATGTACAAACTGGATGCCTGTGCGGTATGAGAGAGAGTATGCTTGGGTGTCTCGAATAGCACTCTGTTTATCCTTTGTTGATCCTACTATATCTCATCCTTCTCACTCTCGATCACGCTGTGGCCCAGACAAGGATGAAGGAGGAACCAGGGACCTCTCTCTCCCTCTCTCTCATCCCCTTTATTTACTGTGAATATTGTATGGCAACGCACGTTCCAGTTAGTATACATTTCAATGGCGTTGGCACACGGAATGACGTCACTTGCGAATCATTTCGCATCACTACTTATTTCTTCCTGTATTTTCCTTCAGTATATCACTAGAGATTAGATCACATATAGGTTGAACCACCACGGACGGCTTGTACAATTTCAGCAAACGCGAGTAAAGATGTTTCAACTGAAGTGATAAACGCAAATGTGTAGTGGACGCCATTTTACATTGCGTGTTTTCCAACTGCCAGATACGAGACGTTAGATCGAATTACACTTGAGATTACGAGCATTTCATCCTCAGCATATATAGGACGAGTGATAAGCGAATACTTACTGATAAGCGATACGTGTACAGGTGACGCGCGGCATTCGTCGAGGGAAACTGTCTGGTTCCGTGTGCGAATGACGAAATGTGTTTGCTATTTAAACAAAAGCGCCGGGACAGTCAACAACGAAGGAAAACGGACGAATTCCACGCACGAAATCATTCCAAACGCGAAATCAACACGACGGATACGCGGGCACGTTGAAGACTCGCGAGAAAAAAAACGTGACCTGCCGTCAAATTGTTCGAGTGTTGAGTCACGCTGGTAAAGTGAGCATGTGAGACAATAGATAAGGAAACATAGTTCGGTGGCAAATTTCATTCCAGCGAGCCATCAGCATGGCGACATTAGTAGCGGCGGATTATGTGGTGATTGGTGTATTGTTGGCCATCAGTTCCGGCATCGGTGTATACTATTGGCTCACCGGTGATCGACAAAATTCGACCGAGGTACGAGAGTTCAAGTATTTCATTGCCAGAGCGTGTTATACTCTTTCCTCGATGAAATTACGCCCGATCAATTTTCGATCTATCAACTATGACATTTCTTTGGAGTGATGTCAAAATACAAATGCCTGGACACGCATCCAGTTATGAACATTCTTATTGTTTTGGTCTTTAAATGTGAATATTTAAACTTTCAACATAAAAAATATATATACACATACGAATTAATTTTATATATATATATATATATATATATATATATATATATATTCTATATTAAAAATTTTAATATTCGTACTTAAAGACCAAAACAATGAGGATGCCCAAGATTAGGTACGCGTCTGGGAATTCATATTTGCCTTTTTGGGCGATAGAGTCTAGATAACCACAAAAATATGTGGTTCATGTGCTTTTCAGTACTAGTATTTACCTTGAGAGGAATAGTGGATACAAAATCGCGAAATAATTCTTTTGGAACATAATATTTTTCCTTGAGTTTCACTAAAGTCAGAATAATATTACAGTTAAAAATGGAAAAAAAACTCAGTAATAGCAAAGTATATTTTCGAGCCTTTCCAAATTTATATTAATATTCTTCATGAGTGAATAAAGTTAAGCGACATGTTATCAGCTAGAATGAAGTTTCTTGCAAGTGTACGATGTACTCCTTCGGATAATAGAAGCAGTTTTCATTCATAAAATTATTGAGATCGAGCACATAAGTGGACGAGGTAAAGTTGGCCTATAATTAAAGGCCGGTAGGAGGGCAGTAGAGACCTCTCGCGGAATACATCAAACTATTTTAGCCTTCTTATCTTTTGCTTACCGGACAATTGAATCTGATATTAAGGCAAGATAATTATATTTATATCTTGGTTATTACAAAACAAAATAAACGGCTATCAGGATCGTAACGAGTATTAACATATAGAAGAAGACTGCTTTTATCATGTTTGTACAGTCAGTCACAACAGTTAATTGTCTAGAAGTTGTAACTTCGAAATTCCAAAATATGGGACATTTAACCTCCGATTTCCCCCACTTTATTACCCACAATGTGGCGAGATGCGGAACGTATGCACACAGAAAAATATCATTCTATTGCTACACTAAAAGCAATTATCCGATAAAAAATTATCAAGTGGATATTTTCGATCCAAATCCGATCAAATACCGATTAATCTTTATATCTGATTAAGAAGTATTCGATGAAAAATATCGATTTTTAATTTTTTTATCGATTTATCTGATGAAATGTTGTTATGATCGAGAGTATTCGATTAAATTTAATCGGATATTCGGACTAGATATAAAAATTAATCGAAATTAGATCATAAATATTCCTTTCGCACTGTGTAAGAAAAGCGATTACTAAGTAAAGAAAAGCGATTGTGCGTAATTTTTCGGGTGAGTTTGTGAACTCAGCTAACTTGTTCAATGGGAGAGAGCATTCCCCCATTAAAAAACGAATCCTTCCATTGGACAAAACGGAAAGTTCACAAATCTCCCCGGAAGATTGCGGACTGCCCACGAATACATACATAGCAAATGTCACTTTCGCCGAATCTCTTCCCGCAGGAGTACTTCGTGGCGAACAAATCGATGCGAGTGACGCCGGTGGCGATAGGTTTGATGGTCTCGTATTTATCAGCGATCAGTCTACTCGGAGTGAGCTCGGAGAATTATGTTTACGGCACGCAGTACGCCGTAATCAACATCTCCTATGGCCTGGCCACACCGTTCGCAGCCTATTTTTACTTGCCGGTGTTTTACAAGCTGCACGCCACGAGCGCCTTCGAGGTGAGAATGGAAGTGTCGGCTGTTGCTGCGCCAGTCGCGTCAGTCTTGGCCGATGAAAAGCGATAGACGCCTGCTAAACCGATATTCCACATTTTGCAGTATCTGCAGAAGCGCTTCGGCACAATCGCCAGACTAACGGCCAGCCTCGCCTTTCTGCTGCAACTGCTTCTCTACACCGGCGTAGTGCTGTACGCGCCCGCGTTAGCCCTGGAAGCCACCACGGGTATGTCGACGAGCGCCAGCGTGATCGGCATAGGACTCGTGTGTACTTTCTACTCGACGATCGGCGGAATCAAGGCGGTCCTCATCACCGACGTGTTGCAGAGTTTGTTGATGTTGGCCGCCGTTATCGCAGTGATCGTCACCGCGGCAATCGACACCGGCGGTCTCGATCGGATCTGGCAGATCGCTCGTCAAGGATCCCGACTAGAATTTGACAAGTAATCCGATCGCGAAGGTCCAGAAAAAGTCTAAGAGATATCTGAGAGAGACATCGATGCGTCTAGACTTCTCTCTCTCTCCCTCTCTCTCTCTCTCTCTCTCTCTCTCTCTCTC